CAGTTTATTGCTCAAATGTAACTCATCTCGAAATATCATACTACCATTCACTTTCAGATAAAAAAATCATAAGCATTATATATTCATGCCCAAATATAATCTATTTGAGTTTCAAAAATAGCATAGGATTTAGTAATAGAGCATTAGAACTGATAGCAGGTTCATACCAGAATCTGAAATATCTCAATCTATGTGTTAATAATTATATGAGCTCTCGTGCTCGAGAAGTAGATGACGGGGGTTTATGAAGAATCGTGAAGTCATGTCATAAATTAGAATATTTAAATCTTGCCTACTGTACAGAGATTACTGAACATTCAATTTGCAATATTATTCGCTCTAACCTAAAGCTTCAGCATCTTGACATTACCTATTGTGGAATTATTTCTGATATGACTATCAAAGAAGTTGCTAGATCATGTCTTAATTTAAAATATATTAATTTGAGAAGGTGTTATATTAGCAAAGAAGCCCTAGATCAGCTAAATCCAAATACTCATGTCGAGATTTTTCAGGGTCCGTTTGATAATCAAGTTGTGATAGAGCAATTATTCAGACAGTCTAGAGTTGCTAATATTAAAACTCAGTTTCACCAAGCATTACAACAACCTAATTCCAATATATTCATGACAGTTGACTCTGGTGCCGATCACTCCATTATAGCTATAGGCAGACAAGCACTAAGGAATTATTCGATAGCATTATTCAACGATCTAGCTAGTCCAGAGCAGTGATTATTTGTCCAGAAGATTTATTTTTTTATATTAAATACACCTAAACTACAAGAGAGATATTCGACTAGGATGGTACTTGATATAGAACTCAAACAAGAGCTTAACAACCTTCAAGAATCACTTGTCAACTTAGGACAAGACTTATGGAAAACTTACGCAAATCTTAGATCAATGATAAAAGTTATCAAAGATCTGTCATAGAGTTAGAACGGGATATGAGATACATGTACGAAAGACTTGGATTAATGGTAACTATGTATAGCCTTAAAAAGAAGATTGATTATAAATTGGAGGATCCTGAATTAGAAACTAACTTTACTATCACTGAATTTATTCCACGAAGTATTAAATATAAGGGTCAGGAATCATTATCTTCTCATTTAACATTTGAAACTTCACGAGGCTCATTACACCGTAGATTGTGTAAAAAAGATTTCCCAGAAGAGATTGTCAATGATGGTTGTAGTACACCTGAATTAACTGATTCCGATCTGAAATAGTGGCGCTGAATTTAATTAGTTTCTGATCTAACTAGTCCAGAGCAGTGATTACTAGCGCAGAAGAACTTGCTGAGCCACAGATTGTGTGACAAAAAATATAGATTAACTAACTTATACTAAACATGGGCACTAGTCTGTGTCAGCCGAATTTTTTACAAAAATTTCATGCAATTGTTGAGGAGTGGACTCAAGGTATCATTCCCCGTTGAGATATGTTGATAGATTACTTAATGATTAAGCAGGATGGTGGAACTTTACTGATCTAACTAATCAGGAGCGGTGATCTGACTTCTTCAGCTTGGAAGATTTACTGCTAAATCATGTACAGCACCTTCGACCAGATTGTGCAACAAAAAAATAAGTGGATCACTAGATAGGTTGTGTGACATATTAATTTTCACATATCGAAAAGAAGTTATATGCTAACCAATACCTCTATTTTTTATTGATCTACAATATTAGCA